CTTTTACAGATATCATCATTTCATAAACAAAGTCTTGAATAAAGATGATAAATGGGGTTGATAAGTATGGAACTCTTTTTGGATTCGAGATTAAAATATCACAATAAGGAAACACAACCGTGGAAACACCCTCTTGAATAACAATAAACACAATCTCTTGTCTGCATTCACGGGACGTGTCCCTTTAACAGACTATATCTAAACTATGTAGCATGTCTTACGAAGCGGATCAGCAAATGCCAATAATATTGTAAAGCATATTATCAAAACAATTATCATTTTATATTTTGATATATTTTTTTTCTCTGTGTGAAAAATTTGGGTTCAAAGATTAGTAACCCAAGGTCTGAAATGTCCATTTAATGGTGCATATTTGACAGCAGTTTATAAAAGTTCATAATCTTTTGGTATTATTTAACTTAACCAGGGGAGTGACGAAATATTAATTAATTGTAATTAATATTAACTATATTATTACATATGATATATGTCAGTCATGATAAAATATCATAATGAAAAATTAATTAATGCCCATCAGCTTAATCAATTACAATTCAGTGGACACGACAATATCAAAGACTGAAAAATGTAGCGATTTCCGTAGGAATTTTTATTAAAACGGTATTAGATATACTATTAATAAAGAAATAACGTCATTAGCCAGGAACTATGTCGTTTCAATGGATATTAAAGTATGGGTTGATTTCGAGTGACTATGACAAAGACAACTTTTGTTAACATTCCAAAGCTATTACAAAATCTCGACAAAACATCTATTGTTTATCGCGGATTTATACAAAAAATATTGTCATATTCTGTTTTTTGTCAAGCAGTGTATCAACATTGTGTATTAAAGTTGATATATCTGGTGTAAATAATTTTAAGCGACTTTTCCGATACACGGAAAAGAAATATAAATGGCAAAAAGAGTTCACATTACTTATGATAAGTTAATACTGGGACACATTTACAAGCCGTATTTGATATTTTGGTTAGGTACCAGTTTTAAAACATATTCTCATTTTAACTTTACTAATACAACATATCGCTGATGATCACTCTGATATTTCTATGATATGTCAAGTCATCAGTCAGATAAAAAAAATAAATAAAATTGAAATTTAATTATAATAAAATGACTCCACCTGTCTACCGAGTAGATCAATTAACATATAGTTTGTATGAGGATTTGCATAAACGTTCAATTTTAATTAACAAATATCATATTTCCTTCCCGTTTAAGAGAGTCAGTTCCGAGATATCAACGACATCGCATGCATTAAAATCAATAGTAACACATAACCCGTGGGGTACAAAATAGTCCGTTCTGCCACAAACCGTTACATTTTTCCGTGACAGGTCCGGAAACCCGCTCCAGTCCGGGTATTATAATGATGGCAGAGGGCCCGAGGGAGTAATTATTAGCTTCAAGAGTTCCAGAATCCACGGGATTAGTTTTGCCTTATGCTACAGCCAAATAACAATAATTCGACAATAGAAGGGTCACTAGTCGAGTGAGATGGAGACAAATATTGACTTTACTCCTTCAAGTGAACATTGCCCAGACACTGGGAGATCAATACTAATCGAATTTTGGTAAGAGTTAGAAGACGGTGCATTGTAAACAACAGAACCAGCGACGGTGATGGCACTAAGTTATACTGACGGAGAACCACATCTGGCCGAAATTTATACAATAATAACCCCGTTTAGAATATGTTCAGTGAATCAGAAATTTGTACGAATCTGGGAATTCTCGATAAATAAGAAGGACTTTTCATGTCATTCAAGGGTAGTTGGTAAAATAAACATTAATGTTTATTTATTCGGAGACGACAAAAGGGAGGTTGTAATTTGATGTAACAGCCTCTTTCATCCGAAATGTTGGCACGCGCAGCTTTTTGCTGATTTCCACCTCACCTCACGTGACATGTTGAGCTGATGCAGGCCTAATTAGGTCCAATTTTACGGTAGACGGAGGACAGATTTTTACCACGATTTAGATACATTATTAATGGGTTCTAAATGTACTGTAATATAGCGCTAAAACACTGCTTTGTTGTAACATTAAAAATTGACTCGAGTAGAATAAAAGTATTGTTTGAAGAATACCTAACGCGCCATCGGCGCATATCTAAAAACCTCTTTCACCATTGGAGTAAATTTATCTGTAGAGTGTAATTGAAGATTTTAAGTTAAAGATATTTTATTCACCAGTGCTGTTTAACTAAGAATTTACAGTGCAAACAGTAGGCTGCCTTTAGAATGGCATGAAAAAATTAACATATTTTAAAATTATATTCTTTGAGGTCACCTATTATGTATAATAATGAATATTTACACGTGTGGTGTTAGTGAATTTTGCCCTAGAAAAGATTGGTACAATAAAACCTACACACATAAGCCGTATGTTACCGGCATGTTATATAAAATTACATGGTGAATTCTATTTTGATAAATTACTTTTAGATTTAGTTTTTTTAATAGCATCTTAGCATTGATAAGATGCTATGATTTTCGTCAAACGCTGTAATCCCGTCTATAAAAAAAATAAAAATTATCACCGATTTGCAAATAAAACCTGATTTTCACTAAAAACCCTAAATAAATCAAATTGTATGTTTAAGTTGTGTTTTTTACAGCACGTTTGATAAGGAATAAGTTATATATTGATGTAGGTTTATTTCGTGAAACGCTAAGTAGGACATATACCTGAATTACGCTTTCTTCATCAGCTTAGATATAAATTGATTAGTTTCAAATTTATCACATGTATATTTCCTCAAATACATTCACAAGTATCATTATTTAAAGTACGATTTAACGACGAGATGGATTGTAAACATACAATAGATTTCAAACAAAGCATTAGTCAATCACCAAATATTTAACAATATTTCATGAATGTTTTTTGACAGAAGGCAAGTTCCGATGAGCAATTCTACAGTAGCAACCCGATGGAAAACATCCACTCATTGTAACCATATCGAATTTTATCGATGATATTAAGGGATGCATTTTCTCTCCTATCTCTACCATAGCGTGTTGTCATCTTCCGGTTTCAAAAAGAATTAGTCACTCTAGGTCAGAAAATGTAGTCCTGTTATACAATCAGATTAAAATAGATGTTAAATAGCTTATCAGAGTTTTCTTTTGTTTACGGACGCTTGATGTTATAAACTCTACACAAGTATGACCAAATACGTTCATGCAGGCTCATAAAATCACGGACATATTTCGATTTAATCTTAAACAAACCCTTAAAAATCTTATCTTTTTTTGTCCTTCAATCCGTGGCGTGTTCGGGTCAATATTTGAAACGGCACTCCGGTCCATAAAGTATAGGTAGGCGCTATCAATAACAGATGAAATATTAAAAATAATAGTTTTATCAAATTAAGTGGCCCTTTTGTATCAGGTGTGCATGTATTACTTACTCGGAAATTTTGAATCGTTTACATGGCAACATATTACAGGTCTCAACATATAGCAAAAACAAAATGTCCGTTAATGATTAAACTTGGATTGGATGTTTAATCAGTTGTCAATATTTCTGTATCATAGACCCATATTGAGAAGTTGTTGGTAAAAATCACGGAATCTTTTAGGTTTTTAAGACAGTGCCAGATGATCGTAGTCAAAAGGCGCTTACAGTGGATAATAATACAAAAATTAATCCCCTGGATACGATAAGCTCATCACCATTAAAAAACAACAAAAAAACAAAAACCAAGAAAAACACAAACTTGCAATAAGACTAATGTTATTCAATTAATAATTCCAGATATACAAACGGCAATATTCAAAATTTCTTAAATAAATGGCCGAATACGTTTGATTTCTTGTTATTACTAAAACAATCTGAACATACCATATAAAGTGTTAAGTTTAGGTCATAATGACTGTTAAATTAATGTAGCCTGAAATTTTAACTCGGATTTAAGAAGCCCTTTTTATCATATTATTGCATTTTATGATAACAGAAATGAGTTTGAACCAAGTCTGTAAAAGACATGAAATAAAACTCAGATTTAATAACTTAAATCCTAAGGGAAAACCTTGTTTGTAAACATGCGTGAAATAAAATTCAGCTTTGATAATTTAAACCATTCTCTGTATACTTTTGAAGAAACTCTACTTGGCGACAATTGGAGAAATGTTTACACTAATTTAATTTTAAAATATTTACACGTATTTAGATTAAGAATAACATGTACTCTGTGAATATACCATAAGATAATAAACACGCTATGTATCAGATTAGTTATGTTTAGATAATGTCGTCTTTACAGAATTCAATGAGGATTTCAATCACGGATTAAAATTAATTAGGATTACATACGCTGTTGGTTTCTCTGTAGGCGGGCTGTTTTGCCCGGCGTCCGTCGGATTATCAAACGTACAATAAACAACAAATCCCATTGCTAGAAAAAATCCGGACTGTGCCAGAGAGAGAGATAGAGAGAGAGAGAGCAGGGGACCCACTGTTCTCCTGTATACTCTACATAACAGCAAAACGTCAGGTATTATATGTGTGCGTTCATTATGATAATGTTAGTATTTAAAGGTTACGGAAACCGCCCAGTCGTATGTAGCTATGGTCTATATTTACTCAGTAATTGATGAAAGGTTTTTTTTAAATATCAGCAGAAAATGAACAATGATGGCACCGAACAAAACGCTGCGGGAACATCTCATCAACCCGATAAAGTAGCGTTTCCATCCCCACCAGGAATATTCGCTCCGATGAGCCATGCGTAGCTAACTTTACTTGTACTTCACTGCGGGTGAGCTCATCAAATCCGCTGCTTATTCACTTAACCAAGAGGCGTGTCACAGTACGGCTAATTGATTAGTACTGCCTATGGGCGTTCAGGTGGGCGGAGCCAATTCATAACGCTATAAGGAAAGCAGGCTTTCCATTGGTCGATGTCTAGCAATGTTTACCTTTCAATTACTGGCCGTATGACAGTCAAATAGCGGAGGATTTCTTCAACATGCTGAAAGGACACATATAGTAGGCTATCGGAGCAGTAACTGTAGTCAATGCATACAATAGCGTTTCTACTCGACGAACTGAAGACAATTGGTGTATAGATAGAGTTTACTATCGTTGAATACATACTCCACTGACCATGGAGGGATAGTAGTGGCGATTTTTTTCAAGTACGGAGTAAGTGGTCACTTACATACCTACGTGGGTGTCACATCTGAACCGTGGTGGCTCTTACCTGGACCGTCTGACGCCTGTTGCACACACTTGTAAACAAAACGGTGAGCAGGGACGAGAAGAGACACGGTGCATCTCATCAATAGATGACATCACAATCATGTTACCCCGTTTTAGTGATTAATAACATATGATCTGTTCCTGGACTTTTCTTGAATGAAAGGAAAAGATATTCTGGATATTTTTGTGGCTCCAATATTTTTTGGACATCTATACTTGTCATTAACATAACATCTTTTTGATATTAAAACACTGACTATGCTTCTAGAAGGCGGATCAGCAGATATGTTAGCTGCGCAATCTAAGATCTTGTTCCAATTGAACAAGTACTATAATGAGCGGGTGCAGTCGCGACAGGGTGCCACCATGAAGACCATTCGTGAGGTGTGCAAGGTGGTGCAGGATGTACTCAAAGAAGTAGAAGTCCAGGAGCCTCGATTTATCAGCTCTTTGAACGAATCCAATGGACGATATGAAGGTTTGGATGTTGTTTCCCCTACCGAATTTGAGGTAGTGCTTTATTTAAACCAAATGGGTGTGTTTAATTTTGTTGACGATGGTACGATACCTGGTTGTGCTGTTTTGAAACTCAGCGATGGTCGGAAACGGTCAATGTCGTTGTGGGTGGAATTTATCACAGCGTCAGGGTATCTCTCCGCCAGAAAAATAAGGTCTAGGTTCCAAACTCTAGTCGCACAAGCAGTGGACAAATGTAGTTACAGAGACATTGTGAAAATGGTCGCAGACACGACCGAGGTTAAGCTTCGGATTAAGGAAAGGTTTGTGGTGCAAGTGACCCCAGCTTTTAGATGTGGTGGTATTTGGTGTCGTAGTGCTGCACACTGGCCTGTACCCCATATACCCTGGCCAAACCCGAACCTCGTAGCCGAGGTCAAGACAGAGGGATTCGATCTACTATCCCGTGAAAGCATCTACATGAAGGACAAACAGAGCGCAGCCGAAGGGGATGCATGGGCCATGTCGTTCAAGTATGCCGAGGACAGACTTCTGTATGGGGGGTGCAGGCGGAAGTGTCTAAGTATCATGAAAACCTTCCGCGACAGACACCTCGACATTCCGGGACAGCCCATCACCTCCTATATCATGAAGACCCTACTTCTGTACGAATGTGAAAAACACCCGCGAGAAATCGAATGGGATGACACGTGCTTAGGGGACAGACTGAACGGCATATTACTTCAGCTTATTTCATGTTTACAGAACAGGAGATGTCCACATTATTTTCTACCAAACGTTGACTTATTTAAGGGCAAAACCACATCCGGAATGGACAATGCTGCAAAACAAGCGTGGCGAATTCTCCGGGAACTTTTAACGAATCCAAAAAGTTTAGAAAAGCTTTAAATGTATTTTGTCTGTGATGTTGTGTATTCGTGGAACGCTGAATGATGTGTTGTTAAATCAGAGGTCCAGTATCAACAGAAATTTATCGTAGATTGAGATGTATGGACGAATTCCCTATCTATCAACCAGACAAGGAACATTGGGATATTGCTGGTAGGCATAATGATAAAAACAAAAGTAAAATATATTATAAGGGGGAAATCTTCATTGTTAATAAGTCTTTTCTGATTTATAAAAGATTTCAATGCTTTAGCGTGAATTTTATTTTGAATTTGATTGTATAATTTACCAAATCATATTAGTTAGTCATGCGAGTTATCATAGACAATTTTTTGTGTGATTCAACGTAACGTGGTATGAGTTAGTGAGGGTAAACGGTAAACGATATAGGGAAACAATTTTAAAAAAACTCGGGAATGGGGGAGCGGACAACAGCTGACACTTGTCTCCAGTACACGGTGAGATAGGACTAGAAGCTGCTTTACTGTTGACGATAGAGGTCATTGCCGGCTGAAACGCATTAACCTGATATACAAGGCTTTTTGGTGCAGTTGTGTGATGTAATAATACCCAAATGTATGGATTTATGCAGTGGATTGAGATGTGTTTGGAACATATTGCTAATCTCGGTGAGTGCCAATGTAATGAGTTCTGAAAGAAAAAATAGAGAAAATCAGAGAAAACTAAAGAAAATTAAAACAAGAAATACCTCTGTTGCCGGAACATATATCAAATTTAAATGACAACCTGTCGTGTTTATTCGGTACAGAGTGATAATAAACAATGCGGTAAGGATACATGAGCATTTTGATACCAAAGATAAGCGAGTTTCCTGTAGTAGAGAACTGGATTAATCTATGAATGTGTTGTAAATGTTTGCTTATGGTTTTACTATAGGTATGTGAAACAGTGAGTGGTTGTTTTGATATACATTATCTAAATTAAGCGCTATATTGCGTAATTTGTTAACTGTTAAGAAACATTGTTGTTGTCTTTTATGTATTTTTTTCAATAAGGATTGTACATGGATACACATTTTTTTTTAAAATTCTAAGTTATTATAGTGTTTATAAACACTTGCTTCTTAAAAAATTCCATTTCATGTCAAAAAAGAAATATGTACAAAATTAAAGACAATTTCAACAAAAATTATGTTTCCCGTTATGTTTGCCACACTGCAGGAATATCTCCCATAATTTCCATTTTCAAAACAGACCATTCATAATAAAAGCATGTGACAAACGGTTAAAAATAATTTTCCAGTTACTGTTATCTCTCAAATCATAAACCCTCAGCCCAGATTGCCTAAATTCCGGCCTGAGGATAAGCGTTCTGGTCGTCAACCGCTACCATGATCTCTCAACATCTCAGCAGGCCTCCCATAACACTAAATATGACTTCGTGTAGAGTTCCATGGGTTTCAAGTGGATATCTCCCACCACTAGCAATATGAAAACTTGAAAAAAAATCCCCATTCATTTACAAACTATACACTTGTCGAAGGAACTTTTGCAACTGTCTACTATTATGTTAACACCAAATTACCTCAGTTGTCTTCAATAACACAGAGTTGTATAGTGTTAGTGGGGATACAGTCATGTTTGTTTTTCTCTCTGTCGTTATAATTGCATTTTTGTGTTCCACTTTTTTCCCAATAGATGAGTGATTAGAGGGTGAAGGAGGGAATAATGACTTATCATGTCAACACAAAACATCTACGCTGCTAATTAAACGTATCTTGCTACATTTTAGCCAACTTTTGAAAGTATATTGCAATTTTCTGTTAATGGAACAGGTCTGAAGTTAACAAATCTTAAGATGCTTTCTAAAGTCTAAATATTTTGTGATTATGTCGTTAATGAATAGTCATATTTTCGCAAAATGATAGAAATGAATTCAACAACACATGTTGAAACAAATCAAAATATTATACTGTTATTTACATTTCCAAAAATAGAACATAAACAACGCTACTGCAGAATTACAATAGTTTTTTAAAGTTGAAGTGACATTTAAAATTTTATTTATGAACACCCGATTGTTATTTGTAAATAATTGATATTTTCATGAACAGAAAGTGCCTATTTGTTTGATAAAGAAAATAATGTTATGAATATATATATAACTTATCCATAATGAGTATGGGTAACAGTCCCACTGTTATCTATGCTCTATTTTCGTCTTTGTACTCACAGTTGAAATGTTCCTCTAACCCTTATTTGTATACACTTTAAATATTGGAATTAACACCCATATGTAATATTTTACTTTATCACTAAAAAGGCTTAAAGTCATTTATTTTATCGACAAAAATATTATCATGTCACACAATAAATGTATAAACATGATTGAAACTGTTAAAAAATATTCTTACAGTGCCAGTTCATTGGCCTAGTATAGAAAGTAGAGATATGATAGAGAGCGTATGAAAAAATATAACAAGGTTTTGACAAAATGAAATTGAAAATGGCAATATCGACATAAACAAATGAACAAGTCACCTGTTTTCAGTATATGTAAAATATCACTGATATCCTCTCCGAAAAATTGTTAATGGTTTCGACTCCGACAAATTCATGATGAGAGTAAATCCCTTTAATTTAATTTGCAATTTATGATTATGTTAACTTTTTAAGTGATATCTACACAAATTGGAATACCAGTGAATACAAACAAAACCTAAACACATGTTTCAAAGTTACATTTTTGTCAAAATAAAGGAAGTCTTGAGATAAGTTAGTTGTATAAATAACAAAATTAAAACTGAATGTACAAAAAATGTTTGAAGTATACATTTTACACAGATGATCGGTTACGCCTATTTTAGACAGCAATGTGCACCAACAATTTGATGTAGTTATATATATCTTAGAATTTGGAAAAGGTAAAGTATAACAATGAAATAAAATAAATATGTTTACATGCTTTTATCAAGATAATAATGGCCATTGATAATGATTGGAGTCATGTCCGAGGGAATTTAATTATAAAAATATAGGAAACGCATTAACTTTTATTGTAGTTATGATAGTCATGTCATATAAATCAATTCAAATATCACTATATTGAAGGTGAGTCATGTTACTAAAATCATATAAAACATTATTGTAGTCACTCGCCAACGTTTCCTTAATTAATTTTGAAATTACCTTATATGTTAATTTTGATTTGCATTAAAACACAGTAAAATGTTAAAACAATTTTCTGTAGCTCAAATACACCTGTTCATAGCAATTATTTTGTCTATTTCTTACAATGAAAAATATTCTTGCCCATTTCATAGACACATGATTACATACCTGGATCTATATATAGCTATTTAGTTTTCTAACAGAGAGTGTAGCAAGTTTATGTTTGACTGATCATTCAGGAAACCCACAAGCCGTGACAGCGTCACAAATTACACACATAATGCTGATAAAAGTTCGTCCTCCATCTTTCTGTTACCTCTCTTAATAAACATTGTTGCATTATGATATGCATCATGTACGCTAATTAACCTTGTATTATGTCGGGATGTTAAACTCACGCTGTCACGCATTTATAATGTATAGTTTTATGGAGCAATACATGAAATCATTATGCATCAAATTCATAAAATTTGCAATATAACACATAATAAGTGATGCTTTAATGAAGGGCATAATTTTAAACAATATCCACAACAAAGTTAAACTATTTCATATCAAAGCGACATATTAACATCACCGGAGTGCAGACGAGGGAGCCTGTCGACAGTTATGTGTCTCGCATGAGGTGAATCTCCAAGCATATTTATACCACCCAAGTCGCATTAGAACTATCTACAAAAACTGCCTGGCGGGCAGAGTTTGATCCCTTTTCAATAAACCACTTACAGCCTGATAGCCTTCTGTCCTATGAAAACATTAAATGACATGATAAAAAAGACATATTAGCGAGACATAATAAAAAAAAACTATGTGATGTTACTCCCATTTAATGGTTACGGCCGAGGTGGGACCCAATAGGTCAAGTATGTTCACTCCAAGTATTCTAAAGTGGGTAGAGGACTCTCGTTCATATGTTTCTTTACCTTGAATTCACATCGCATACATTTTTTTCGGAGGCGTTCTTTATATTGGAAGTATGATTTAGTTGATGCTTTTAGAATAAAGAAACAAAATGTTTTCTCTTTTTTATATTCTAAATAATTGCATTTGATATAAAAAAAATACTGTTCTATTTAATTATATCCCTTATCGATGTGGTGGGTGGAAAAATGGTTAATTAGGCAATATTTGAGGCGGTAAACTCAAATCATTCTGTGGTAAATTGTGTGGGATATTTCATATTAATTACAAGAGTGATGGCTTAACATCAGACTTTTTAAATCATGCGTATCTAACATAAGTTTTCCTTAGACACTCGCGGACAATTTAACAGTCTTAAGGCCACCTACACTGTTAATGTTTACTAATTCATATACAGACACACAAAAATGTTCCATCATTGTTATAGGTCTGCGGGCTTTCTGCTCTACCCTTTTTAAAGATCTAATCAAATAATCAGTTTCCACTCTCCCTTTGTGATAATATAGATGAAGTTTGGACACCGTATGAACCGCCTGATTATTATGATCAGCTTAACAGTCGCTAACGTACTGCTAGATGTTGTCGCTAATACTTTAGTACCTGGTGCCTATTTTTGCATCTGTTAAGTACACATAAAACCATAAACTTGACCATCCATATATTGTTACATGTTATTGTATTTAGATATTTCATAATAATATAGCTTGTTCAAATAAAAATGATCAGTGAGAAAAAAAAAAAAAAAAAAAACAAAAATATATTTGATATATTGACATTTTGCATTGAAATCAGTAGGCTGTTTCATGAAATATACCGAAGCCTTTTTATTTGATAAAGAGAAATATCATTGAAAAAATTTAACAATTTTTTAGACAAACATTTCCGCACATTTGGCAAATAAACAATGTAAAACACTGCAGTAACTATAAAAAAAACATAACATGCATTTTGAAGTCTGTTCTTCTGGTGAACGCCGGAATGAAAATTAGCTTTTATATGATGTACTGCATTAAAACATAAATAAGAAACAAACAAACGATTGCTTCTTACTTCTGTCGTGGATTTAACAAAGTTTTGTCTACAACGTCCATGCAAAAGTATTTTATATAATTATATTTCTATCTGATTCAGAAAACAGATGACCACTGTTCATTCATCTAACCATCTATCAGAAGCTATTTTTCTTGACATTTAGGCCAAAGAAATAAATTGTATGTTTAAATTTTATAACATGATACAGATAAATATTAAACTTTAATTCACATCAATTTAGTAACTATATAGGAAAACAGTGATAGAATCAAAAAGATGCCGAAGCAAATGGAAAGAAACATATCAATATGATACAATAACACTTGATCAACGTTTTCTGTAAAATTCCATAATACAACGGGGTACAGATATATATTTCAACTTCCTCCGAGGTGCCGATGTATATTACTGACCCTAATTGAAAAAGGCAGTGAACATGGAAAGTCAGTATGTGCCGTACCAGTGCATCGCTCACTGTTACAGAAGCCTGTCAAATGGTGACATTCCAGAATATACTTGATCACAGGCATCACAAACGTCTGACTGACATCATCATGACGTCATTGATGATTTTTGGATAAGAAGTAAAGAATTTTGTAAAGATGAGCACCAGACCCTGCAGAGAAATTCATGCAGGCAGATACTGCACAAATGATTTAATCTATTGCACGAATAAGCTGATTTCACCACAAAAACGCCCTTTTTACATTAATCTGCAATAAACGAGTCGCTGTAAAAAGAATGAATCCTCATTTTGTATTTCCTGTCATAGCATGGCTATAAATATCAACAAAAATAAACGCTCAAAACATTTGCTTATATAATGTATATGATAAATGAATAAATTAAATTGATAAATAGATAATCAGGAGTATATTTCATAATTTTTATAGTGCGTTTTATTGACATTATTCACCTAAATATACTATTGATTATTATGTATTATTGCACAGTATGCAAGAAATGTTACTTCTACAATAAATAAGATATATTTTAAACTAATGCAGTATCTCAATAAGCGTACGAATACAAAATATATATAC